GGTGTGATCGATATAACCAACACTAAGATAACAACCAGACAGAGGATATCGATGAGCGGATGGTCGAGGGTGGAAGTGGAGATGAGGATAGACACGAGAGAGAGAGAGAGAGAGAGAGAGAGAGAGAGGGAGAGAGAGAGAGAGAGGAGAACACTATCAAAACAACCACCACCACTACTACCAATACTAATTAATTACTCACTACTACTACCACTACTACTGGTCACCACACTACCACTCACCACTACTACTCACCACCACCACCACCACCACTACCACCACCACCACCACCACCACCCACCACCACAAGTACCACCACCACCACCACCATTGGCACCACCACCACCACCTCACCACCACCACCCACTACACCTCCTGTACAACACGTGACCAACACTATAACCCCCCCCTAGTGTATGTATAGTGAGTGGCATAATATTGATTGTCACTTGTTCCACCCATCATCCCTCTCTTCCTCCCGCCCACCAGTGCTGTTAGCGGGAGGACGCGAGAGGTGCTGATACTGGTAGTTGTGGTAGTAGTAGTTGTTGTTGTTGTAGTAGTAATAGTAGTAGTTACTGTTGTTGTAGTAGTAGTAGTTATTGTTGTTGTGGTTGTAGTAGTAATAGTAGTTTTAGTTGTTGTATTGTTGTGTTTGTTGTTGTAGTAGTTTTTGTTGTAGTTGTAGATGTGGTTGTAATAGTAGTAGTTGTTGTTGTTGTTGTTGTAGTGTTGTGGTTGTTGTAGTAGTATTAGTAGTGGTTGTTGTGGTTATATTATTATTATTATTTATTATTTTTACTACTAAATCTGTACTTGTTGTGGTATACCTAAATCTGTACTTGTTGTGTGTACCTAAATCTGTACTTGTGTGTACCTAAATCTGTACTTGTCGTGTGTACCTAAATCTGTACTTGTTGTGTATACCTAAATCTGTACTTGTTGTGTGTACCTAAATCTGTCCTTGTTGTGTGTACCTAAATCTGTCCTTGTTGTGTGTACCTAAATCTGTACTTGTTGTGTGTACCTAAATCTGTACTTGTTGTGTGTACCTAAATCTGTACTTGTTGTGTGTACCTAAATCTGTACTTGTTGTGTATACCTAAATCTGTACTTGTTGTGTATACCTAAATCTGTACTTGTTGTGTGTACCTAAATCTGTACTTGTTGTGTGTACCTAAATCTGTCCTTGTTGTGTGTACCTAAATCTGTACTTGTTGTGTGTATCTAAATCTGTACTTGTTGTGTGTACCTAAATCTGTACTTCTGTTGTATGTGAATTTCAAATCTGTGCACTTGTTGTGTGTACCTAAATCTGTACTTGTTGTATGCACCCCAAATCTGTACTTGTTGTGTGTACCCAAATCTGCACTTGTTGTGTGCACCCAACCTGTCCCCATAGTGTACCTAAATCTGCACTTGTTGTGTGTACCTAAATCTGTACTTGTGTGCACCTCTAAATCCGTACTTGTTGTGTGCACCAAATCTGTACCCTGTTGTATGTACCCAACTGTACTTGTTGTGTGTACCCCAAATCTGTACTTGTTGTGTGTGTACCTAAATCTGCACTTGTTGTGTGTACCTAAATCTGGTACTTGTTGTGTACCTAAATCTGTACTTGTTGTGTGTACCCAAATCTGTACTTGTTGTGTACCTAAATCTGTCCTTGTTGTGTGTACCTAAATCTGTACTTGTTGTGTGTACCTAAATCTGTACTTGTTGTGCGTACCTAAATCTGTACTTGTATTCCTAAATAATACTCATTAATACCAAAATCTGTCGTTATACAAAATATATAAATCTGACCAAACTTCTAAACTACAAAACTAGTGAAGTCTTTGAGTAATTGTTCCGCCATTTTTAATAGAGACGATAAATAGTCTCATAGATAGTCTCTGAGGCCGAGTCATTGTACACTAGTTCCGCCATGTTGGTCTCAAAATACACTTACTAGAATGGATAATTAATAGAGACCAGTTATTATGGTTAGGTTAGGCTCTGTTGCTGGGTTAGGCTTGGTTGGGTTAGGGGTTTGCCAGGTTAGGTGTGGTTGGGCTTCTGGTTTGGTTGGGTTAGGGTTTGGTTGGGTTAGGTTTGGTTAGAAGGTTTGGTTGTTGTTGCTGGGTTAGGTTTGGTTGAGTTGGGTTGGTTTGGTTAGGTTGGGTTAGGTTGGGTTTGGTTAGGTTTGGTTGGGTTGGGTTAGGTTGGGTTAGGTTGGGTTTGGTTAGGTTAGGTTGGGTTAAGCAACTTAAAAAATTTCTACCGTCATTTTGATCATAAGTTGAGTAAACGTATCTAATCAAGGTAGAGTCTTGACATAGTTCTGACGCCATTATTAAATTCAACCTTAAGTCAAACAGGTAAATGCTTTCTCACGGGAGATACCAACCTTCCTTAATTAACCCGACCACAGGTAATACCTTCTATACCTCACCTGAATAATCTCCACCCTCGCTTATTTCTCCTAACGATTAACATAACGCTAACTTAACCTAACTTAACGCTAACTTAATCTAACATAACGCAAACTTAACCTAACATAACGCTAACTTAACCTAACTTAATGCTAACTTAATCTAACATAACGCAAACTTAATCTAACATAACGCTAACTTAACGTAACATAACGCTAACTTAACCTAACTTAACGCTAACTTAACCTAACTTAACGCTAACTTAATCTAACATAACGCAAACTTAACGTAACATAACGCTAACTTAACCTAACTTAACGCTAACTTAATCTAACATAACGCAAACTTAACCTAACATAACGCTAACTTAATCTAACTTACGCTAACTTAATCTAACATAACGCTAACTTAACGTAACATAACGCTAACTTAACGTAACATAACGCTAACTTATCCTAACATAACGCTAACTTATCCTAACTTAACGCTAACTTAATCTAACATAACGCAAACTTAACCTAACATAACGCTAACTTAATCTAACTTAACGCTAACTTAATCTAACATAACGCTAACTTAACGTAACATAACGCTAACTTAACGTAACATAACGCTAACTTATCCTAACATAACGCTAACTTAACCTAACTTAACGCTAACTTAATCTAACATAACGCAAACTTAACCTAACATAACGCTAACTTAATCTAACTTAACGCTAACTTAATCTAACATAACGCTAACTTAACGTAACATAACGCTAACTTAACCTAACATAACGCTAACTTATCCTAACATAACGCTAACTTAACCTAACATAACGCTAACTTATCCTAACATAACGCTAACTTAACCTAACATAACGCTAACTTATCCTAACATAACGCTAACTTATCCTAACATAACGCTAACTTATCCTAACATAACGCTAACTTAACCTAACATAACGCTAACTTAACCTAACATAACGCTAACTTAACCTAACATAACGCTAACTTATCCTAACATAACGCTAACTTAACCTAACATAACGCTAACTTAACCTAACATAACGCTAACTTATCCTAACATAACGCTAACTTATCCTAACATAACGCTAACTTATCCTAACATAACGCTAACTTAACCTAACATAACGCTAACTTAACCTAACATAACGCTAACTTATCCTAACATAACGCTAACTTATCCTAACATAACGCTAACTTATCCTAACATAACGCTAACTTAACCTAACATAACGCTAACTTAACCTAACATAACGCTAACTTAACCTAACATAACGCTAACTTAACCAAACATAACACTAACTTAACCTAACATAACGCTAACTTAACCTAACATAACGCTAACTTAACGTAACATAACGCTAACTTAACGTAACATAACGCTAACTTAACCTAACATAACGCTACCTTAACCAAATATAACGCTAACTTAACCTAACATAACGCTAACTTAACCTAACATAACGCTAACCTAACATAACGCTAACATAACGCTAACTTAACCTAACATAACGCTAACTTAACCTAACATAACGCTAACTTATCCTAACATAACGCTAACTTAACGTAACATAACGCTAACTTAACGTAACATAACGCTAACTTAACCTAACATAACGCTAACTTAACCTAACATAACGCTAACTTATCCTAACATAACGCTAACTTAACCTAACATAACGTTAACTTAACCTAACATAACGCTAACTTAACCTAACATAACGCTAACTTAACCTAACATAACGCTAACTTAACCTAACATAACGCTAACTTAACCTAACATAACGCTAACTTAACCTAACATAACGCTAACTTAACCAAACCAAACTTAAGTCACTTTTTTTCACTTATTGGTAATTAAATATATTTCATTGTCTCGTACTGTGTGAGTCTCTGCATAACTGTTCCGCCATGTTGTGTTAGGTAATTGAGGTGTAATATAATTAACAGGTTCTCATTAATCCGTTTACCTGTTGTCACATCAAAGTTCTCGCCTAAGAGATCTGTTTCTTCCTTATAAATAAAATCTAAACAAATCGACTTAAACAACAAATAAAAAATAATAATGAACCAAATTAATTAGACGAATAATGACGCCAAATTAATTATAATATCAAAGATGCTTAAAACCGGCGATAAATTAGATGGTATTGATAATTAACGAAATGTTTATCAATAATGCATAATTAATATCGGCTGTAAATATTAACTAATTAATTATATTATTAGTTAAATGACAGTATTAATCATAACAACAACAGCGTCCAATTAAAAATAATAAGTCATTTATATGGGGGTGGTGTGTGGGGCGGCTGTGAGGGGCGGCTTTGGGAGGGGCGGCTGTGGTCATGACAACTGTTAACTGACATCAACTGTGTAAGCTAAAATGCCGAGGGTTTAGTGAGAGGAAAATGAAATGCGCGGCGAGAATCGGAAGTCGGACGGAATCTTGCAACCATGGCGAGCGAGTGTATCGGCGGCGGCTGTCGGCTGTGTTCAGTGCGTGGCGGAACTGTGCGCCGCTGTGACTCTCCGCCGCCACCTGCCTGCTGTGGGCCGCCAGGGGGAGGAGCCGAGGCTGACTCCGCCCACACTCTCCTTACCGGATGAGCGAACACTGGGAGGAGCTTGAGCTGAATGGCCCCGCCCACACTAGGTGTTGACCAATAGTGTAGCTCGACGCGACCATAGTGACTACAGGGGAAGGAGGGCGTTAGCCTAGCCCAAACATCCATGTATTTACTCAGGGTTAGGGTGAACCGTGCGCTTATTACTGTCTGTGAGTGCTACAAGTACTTTTGCTGATCACAGAATTAAACAAGACCAAGTTAAACTGAGAAACGTACACATATGATTAGGATAAGTGTTTGGTCATTCAATTTGCCGTAGAGTCCCGCCGTGAACTGTGCGTGTGAGTGTTGGCTAGGCGACCTTAGTTGACCTGTTGAGCTGCGTGTGGCCGGCGTGACCCTCGTCGCCCCGACACTCACCACCGTGTTGCTTGCTGCCTCGCCTCCACCAGCAGGAATATGTACAGTGCGTGATCCTTGTGTGTGACTGTGTGTAGTGAGTGACCCGGGCACCATGTTGTCCCAGAAGTTATACAGTGACACCATGACGCCCATGAGTTCGGGGGCGCCGCCCGTCTCGCCCATGTCGCAGAGCACATACGGCATGAACTCCATGAACAGCATGATGGGTATGAACACCTACCAGCAGCGCCTCCCGCCCAACATGGACTTCTCCTCCTCCATGAGCGGCATCGGGGCCATGGGTATGGGCGGGCAGTGTATGAGTCCCGGCATGACCGGGATGGGCGCCTTCCCTCCCATGAACAGCTCCATGCAGCAGATGAACGGTATGAGTGGGTGCATGAGCGGTATGGGCGGCATGGGCGGCATGAACCAGATGGTGGGTTACGGGCGTGAGCTGCAGGAGCCAGACAGTCCGGTGTCGTCGGCGCTACAGCGGGCGCGTCAGGACAAGACCTACCGCCGCTCCTACACCCACGCCAAGCCTCCCTACTCCTACATCTCCCTCATCACCATGTCCATCCAGAACGCCCCCAACAAGATGGTGACGCTGTCAGAGATCTACCAGTTCATCATGGACCTGTTCCCTTACTACCGCCAGAACCAGCAGCGTTGGCAGAACTCCATCCGTCACTCCCTCTCCTTCAACGACTGCTTCATCAAGATCCCCCGCACGCCAGACAAGCCCGGCAAGGGATCCTTCTGGTCACTCCACCCAGACTCTGGCAACATGTTTGAGAACGGCTGTTACCTCCGCCGTCAGAAGAGGTTCAAGTGTGAGAAGAAAGAACCGTCGCGGCCAACCACCAAGTCCTCGCACACGTCCAGCCAAGTCCAGCACCAGAGTCCAGGCTCCGCCACCAAGCAGGAACATCCCGAGGACGCTGAGTCCAAGATGGACTCCTCTATGGCGTCCCCCGCACACCCTGGCCACGGTGGTCACAACGGCCACCATGGCCACCCTGTCAGCGGCGGCGGCCCGCCGGGTCAGCAGCCTCCCAGTGACCCTGTGTCCGGGATGACCCAACTGCTGGAGGCCGCCACCAAACTGGAGCCGCCAGAGTCCGGCTACCAGATGCCGCCGCCGCCCTCCGTCAGCATCTCCGACAAGTACAGCGCCGAACAGCAGCAGCAGCAACAACAACAACAACAGACGCAGCAGCAGCAGGGGCCGCCGCCGGAACAGCAGCATCACCAGGCCGCCCACCTCGGCACCGCCCACGACCTGCACGCTGCAGCGCCCCTCCATCCGTCCCTCCTCAAGGACTACACAGCCTCCGCCTACCTGAAGGACTACTCCAACGGGCACCTGAAAGACTACGGCTCCTACCTTAAAGACTACAGCGGTCACCTGAAGGAATACGACCACCTCAAGAACTACCCGGCGCCCGCCCACCCCTTCAGCATCACCTCCATAATAGCGGCGGAGAACAAGGACTCCTACGGCGGGTACCTCAGTCCGCTACCCCCGGCCTCCAGCGCCGCGCCCTCACACCACGCCATGGGCGGCGACCATGGCGGCTACTACCCACCTCCCCTCTACCACCACACCACTACGCCCCTCTGATGTGGGCGTGGGTGGCCATCCCCTCAGCACCTCGCCCACCAGACCCTTGTAAATAACGTGTGAATGTCCAAGTGTGAGGTGAAGCTGTAGGCCCGGCCAGCGGTGGTGGTGGTGTCCCCGACCGGTCTACTACTGCTGAGTCAGGAGGTCCTCGGAGGCCGTGAGTCAAGAGGTCCTCGGAGGCCGTGAGTCAGGAGGTCCTCGGGGGGGCCGTGAGTCAGGAGGTACTCGGGAGGCCGTGAGTCAGGAGGTATTCGAGAGGCCGGCCTCTTAACACCCAGTAAGTGCTGCTACTACTTGACCTGGATATAAAAATCCCCACAGACCTGTTGAAAGTTGAAGGTCAGTTTCTTTATGAGATAAATCTTGTTGTTGTGTTGGGAGAGGCAGGAGTCCCGGCCCGCTGCCTCACCTCTAACACTTGATGATCAACTCTGTCAAAATTTTATATCCCATTAAGTTGGTGTTTGTGATGGCGGTGTTGTCTCGTCTGAAGTTTGTTACCTTATAATACGGGTTATAAACAGGACCTAAATTACACTCATTCATTCATTTATTTATTTCTATGTAATCATCGGCCATTTTGGAAAATTATTATATTGCATAGGATTTTATTTTTTGGTTCATCCTAAAATATTATTTGTTTGTTGGAACATTAATTAGTGTAAAGGTACAGGTGTTGTGGGAACAGTGACCAACCACCAGCTGTTAACTTCACTCAGGTTTACTCTTGTTAACATAAGCCAACTGATCTTTGTCTAAACTGCTGTGCTGTACACGCTGAGCGGCAGTAAATCACCCATGATCTGTCCACAGCGGCTGTGCGTGGCCCGGCGACACGTACACCACACACACACACACACACACACACTCCCTTCTTGTGTGTGTACGTGCACCAGCTGGTAGTGTACATCGGCTGTCATGTGTGTGTGTGTGTCAGCCTCATGGTTCAGTATGAGGTCACTAATGATCTGATAACTCAAGATCTTTATAATATTTTATTTTACTCTTTATTGAATCTGGTAAAGGTAACTTAACTTTACTCCATTTTATTTACTGAATCTTATTTAGGTTAAAGATAAAATAATAATATATATCTATACAGTATAATGTACATTGAATTTATATTATTTTTTGTTAGTTATGTTGGAAGGTCGGGGCAGGAGACAGCCAGTGAAACAAAGGTGTTAACAAGACCTATAGTGAAGCCGACTCACTGCCGCCGCTCATACATACAGACAACTTAACACGGCAGATCTGTGGCACTAACAAAGCCTCTGTGACTATCGGTGTGAGGAGATAAGCCCTATATCTGTGTGGCTGCCTCATGTGTGTGTGTGGTTGGCTGTGTAAGTATGTGAATGTGTGTTTGTATGTGCCAATGCATGTATGTGTGGCTATGTATGTGTGTGTGTGTATGGCTGTGTATATGTATGTATGTGTGTGTGTAGTTCCATGTGCGTCACCAGCGACCCTCACCATTACCCATAAACCCCAAGCTACTGATAATTTTTGTTCTTTGAAAGTAAAAAAAAAATTCTATCACATCTCCACAAATAATAATAATAATAATTTCACCTCACTATTCCAAACACTTAATCAGTTATTTATTAGTCTTTAACATCGGATTACCACGACGCTCAGAGCTCGGGTTTAATGTGTAAATTGATTCAAAAGGTTTAATGTGTAAATTGATCGAGGTTAAAGTGTAAATTGATCGAGGTTAAAGTGTAAATTATTTTGGTGTGAGGGAGGGTGACCACTGACCGCTTCCGGGGTCCTGTCTGGATTACCGCCACCACCGTAACCTAACCTAATCAGTCACACTAACTTAACCTAACCTAATCAGTCACACTAACCTAACCTAACCTAATCACTCATTCCCTCACCACCACCCAACCAGTCACACTTACATACCACAACCTAACCCAACCCAACCGTTTGTGTGTGTGTGAGCCACTGTGTGTGCGTGTAAGAGCCACTGTGTGTGTGTGTGTGTAAGAGCAACCACGTGTGTGTAAGAGCCACCATGTGTGTGCGTTTGTATAAGAGCCACCATGTGTGTGTGTTTGTATAAGAGCCACCATGTGTGTGTGTGTGTAAGAGCCACCATGTGTGTGTGTTTGTATAAGAGCCACCATGTGTGTGTGTGTGTGTGTGTATAAGAGCCACTGTGTGCGTGTGTGTGTAAGAACCACCGTGTGCGTGTAGAGGAGCCACGGGGCCGGAGAGAGCCACCAGAGACCTACTGTGATAACGCCTTACGCCCGGGTGTGTCCGATACCCTCGCGTATTTCTTTAAAAAAAACGAAGTAACGTTAGATCTAATAAACTTGTCTTAGGAATAAGAAAAACACGAAAAAAACATAAAAAAAAAGCGAGATGTTTATTACAGGGTGTTGACAGTGCTTGGTGTGTGTGGATGTGTACCTTGAGGAACATACACACATATGTACTTCAGCGTGTATACACAGTACTCATTGTCGTGTTCACTGTGAAATTTTCCTTGTACGCGAAAGATTGATAAAATACGCATCACGGACGGTCATTATAAAGTACGCATCACGGACGGTCATTATAAAGTACGCATCACGGACAGTCATGATAAAGTACGCATCACGGATAGTCATGATAAAGTACGCATCACGGACGGTCATGATAAAGTACGCATCACGGACAGTCATGATAAAGTACGCATCACGGACAGTCATGATAAAGTACGCGTCACGGACGGTCATGATAAAGTACGCATCACGGACGGTCATGATAAAGTACGCATCACGGACGGTCATGATAAAGTACGCATCACGGACGGCCATGAGGCGTTATATATACAAGTGTTACTCTATGATCCTTACAGTGAACACGGTGTACAGTAGGTATGTGTACACGATGGTGGAGTACAGAGCAAGTTATCTCCTGAGGTACAGCATCAGGTACAGACACACCCTGTAAGACACATCACCTGTATTAACCCTTTGTATGCTGTAGGTGGTAGTCAAGAGAAGTGTCCCTAGTGTTATAACTCTGTCACCGGCCTCTGGGGGGACGCGCCACCTCTCCTCTTAAGTCCAATGTTTGTTTACGTATATTATTACCTCAACTTTACAACTGTTGATGTGAGGGCCGAGGGTCGGGTTATCTTACTCATGGTGGCGGCAGATACACCACCAATATTCTCCCTTATCACAACGATCCGCGGCCGCGCGAGTGATTGTCATGACGGGGTGCCGCAGGCGGTGTAATAAATCCCGCATTCTAGCGTGCCGCGGGTGGTGGCCGCACGCGGATGGGGCGGCGGCCGCGTGTGTACCGCTGGCGGGTGTGATGGTGGACGTAATTATCTGATACCTGGGGCGGGGGTTCCCCTCGCCACCACTGATACGGGGATAAGATAACCACCACCACCACACCGCCCACCAACTCACTTTTTTATAAGATACAGATTTAGCGGCGTATTAGACTTACTGCCGCTGGCCGTCGGACTTACGGAGCATCAACCTAACATGAGTGTGGTCGGGCACACAGTGTGAGGGCCTCGGGGTCACTACACTGTGTGGTGGACTCACTAATAGCAACGGCAAGTCGTGGGTGCGCAGCAGCGGGGCGTCGCTGTATCCTCGTCCTCAACTAATCTGGCTAAATTCGCGGTAGAGTGTGTGTGTGTGTGTGTGTGTGTGAATGTCACGGTCAGATAACATCACGAGTGTCAAGTCCGCCGCCACCCGCGCCGCTGTTGTCAACCAAACCTGTATGTAAGAAAATGATCGCCAGTGCGGGCAGTAGACGAGCGAACATTCACCTGTCGTCGCTCACTTAAACACAGGAGGGAAGGTAGATGAATGTTCGTCTGGCTTACCTTCCATACCCGTTTTAATGCGGGAAGAAGGAAGAGAACGCCAGACGCTGTTGGGTGCCCGTGCTGGCGATGTTTCACTCACGGAAAGACAGGTGTTGGCCAGGTGACCTCAGCAACACTCCTAAGACCAATTAATTTTCCCCCGTGACTAACACCTGTCATTACGGTGATAATTTAACTTAGGAGTGAGAGCTGAGGCACTGTGGGGGACGCCAAGGTTCATAACATAAATATTTCTCCTAAGTGAAGTTATAAAAATATACAGAACTTAACTATTTAAGATAAAACAAAAACAACTCCCAGAAGTAACATTAATCTCAACCTGAACTAAACATATTAAGACGAAGTTAAACCTATTGGTAAACATTATCTAGATTAAAGATTATGTCCAATATGGCGTTAAAGGAACGTGTAGTGTAAATATGTTGTTTTATCCTAAGAGTAATCCAGGTACATTATTTTATATCTTGAAGTAAGATAAATATTTACGATAGGACCTTGTGTGAGTGTGTCGCCTTCAGCCATCACTCTCATCCACTCAGTCACGACACAAATACTTTATAATTATATATATTTTATAAACAAGTGATATAAGATAATGGTGTATTTCACAAAGGCTGTTTATCATGTACAGGTGTGTGTGTGTATTTCTTCCATGAGTATTGTGTCATTAATTAACCTGAGGCTGGGAGTGACTTCTTTACCACCAACACCTTGTATACCACTATGGCACTATCAGGCCCTCCTGGCAGTTCATGACGTCATCTAGGCACTGTTTGGGTTATATTGAAACTATTGTAAATGTGAGAGACTGACAGCCATTAATCACTTGTGTATTATTATCATCATTATTGTCATTATTGTTATTATTAGTGTCATTATTATTGTTATTATTATTATTATCACACCTGAAGCCACACCTGTCATATGTTTAAGAATATGAATTACTTGAATTATATTTTTGTCATTGAATTTAATATGGTGGTAAATGAGTGCAATTATTAAGTGCATGGGGAGAGAGGCAAAGGGTGCGTGGCCGTCACATATAGAGGAGTGTGTGAGTGTGTGACGGCCACCCCAGCACATGTTGTAATGAGCACCTGAAACACTAGATAAGTTACTTCATTACTTTTACCTGTCCACCACCATCTTTAAAATAACTTACAGTACTGAACCAGATAAAATAACCACAATAAACATGGTGAACCTCCCTGTAGTAGTGTGTAAGAGGGCTAACGGGGGACAGATACAGGTCAAAGGTTAAGGTCAGGTTAGGTCAAAATAAAAATAAAATGTAAAAAAAAAAAAAAAATTATCAAGCTCCTGTTCTCGAAGGCTCCCACACCACGCTTGGTCAACTACCGCCCCGCCCCGCCCCGCCCCGCCAGGCCTAACTAAATCCTGTGTATTCGGTGTGTGTAGACGTGGCCACGATATGTGTATGTGTAGTATATATACCAGGTGTACATAATATTCATAGAAGATATCACTTTTCAACTTTATTTTTGTATGTAATCCATTTGTCTCAATATGTTTAATTATGGTTTATTCTCTCTCTATATCTCTCTCTCTCTCTCTCTCTCTCTCTCTACGTTCCCTCCATCATTATCGTGTTAATATAGCACTACCGAGGAGAGACTTATTTTCATTATATTATTATTATTATTTAAACTTTTCCACATTCTTGTGAATCTCATTTTTTTAGCATGACAAAAGATACAGCTTACAGCTCTCTCTTACAGGTGTACCACAGAGCTGTCTCAAGGCCAGGTACTACTGAATTATTCCCTCCCTTCCTTCCTTCCTTCCTTCCTTTTCCATGTGTTTCAATAGCGCCCCTCCCCTCTCTCACCTCCCTTACATATATATATATATATATATACATATATATACATTGATGTTCATTGCTGGGTTTATTAAAAAAAACAAAACCATAAACAGATCTGTGTAGAGACGCGCGGGAAACTTTATAAGAAAAGAAAAAAAACACTTATCAGATGTTTCACTGCGGGTGTGTGTACGTTATGTATGTGTGTGTGTATGTATGGCAGTGATCGTCAACGTCCAAACATTTGTACATAATGAACAATGTGAACTCTCTATACAACCACCATTCCATGTATGTATAACTATGAATAGGAATTTATATACATTCTCTGTGAGGCAACTCTGTGTGCGTGTGTGTGTGTGTGTGAGTGTGTGTGTGTGTAATGGAAATATTCGGAAGGATTGTATCTCTGTTTTTAAGTTATTATTATTACCAAGGTACCAATGCTGTTGAGATGTTGATTGTGAATACCATTATGTGAGGTTACACTGTGTCCAAGGTACCATTGTAATATGTAAAAGGTCTGGTACCATTGTAACATTGTCCAGGGTACCATTGTAAGGTGTTTATGGTATTAGGTTACTATGATACGGTGTCCCAGGTACCATTGCAAGGTGTTCAGGGTACCATTGCCCCCTGGTTGCCAATTGATTCATTTTTATTGCCCAATTGGATGTCAGGGCCGATCAAGCAAGCTAACTATTGCCCTAATCCATCCCTATACCATCAACCATATGGGCAAGAGAGATGACTATTGCCCCTTGGTTCATCATTCCTATCATTGCCCATATGGCTACAAGATGGAGCATGGTATCTAGTGTTCCCCCAAAACCCCTGACTATCACTGTACTAAGTAAACACAAACCTGTCTCATAGTATCTATTGCCCAAAGTAAATATGTATACTATTGCCCACAGAATCAGGCAATGTTATACGAATCCCACGTGATGTAATGATTCTTTTGTTTTGTAAACCAGAGGTGAGATGTTTGGTTTGAGTGTTATTACCAAAGTCATATGAAAAAAATAATGGTGATTGTAATGTTTTGTGAAGGAATGATTGGATTGTAATGTTTATTTTATTTATTTTTTGGGTGTTTGATAATGTGTTTCTACTCGTGGATGAGTTTGTGAGAAATTTTATTGTTTGTATTTTATTGTGGTTTTTAATATGTCTGGTATGTCAAA